TTTTCCGCCTTGAGACAAAATATCGCTCTGTTACCCAGGCTGTAACACAGTAGCACAATCTTGGCTCACTGCAACCTCCGCCTCCTGGGTTCAAGCCTCTCTCCTGCTTCAGCCTCCCATGTAGCTATAGAAGTGCACCATGATGCCTGGCTATTTTTGTATTTTTAGTAGAGATGGGGTTTCGCCTTGTTGGCCAGGCTGGTCTTATACCCTGGCCCTAAGTGATCTGTCCACCCCAGACTCCCAAAGTGTTGGGATTATAGGCATGAGCCACTGTGCCTGACTCTCTCTACTTTTTTTTTTTTTTTGAGAAAGGGTCTCTCTCTGTCACCCAGTCTGGGGTGCAGAGGTGCAATCTTGGCTTACTGCAACCTCCACCTCCTGGCTTCAAGTGATTCTTGTGCTTCAGCCTCCCAAGTAGCTGGGACTGCAGGTGTAGGCTACCATGCCTGGCTGTCTCTACTTTTTAATACTTTAAAATGTTTTTCTTTGCTTTTTTTTTTTTTTTAAAGAAACAGTATCTTGCTCTGTCCTGGCTGGAGTGCAGTGGTGTAATCATGGCTCACTGTAGCCTCCTTAGCTCAAGCAATCCTCTTTCAGCCTCTTGAGTAGCTGGAACTGCAGGCATGCACCACCACACCTGGCTAATTTTTAAATTTCTTGTAGAGATGGGAATCTTGCTATATTTCCCTAGCTGGTTTCAATCTCCTATCCTCAAGGTATCCTCCCATCTTTGCCTCCCAAAGTGTTGGAATTACAGGTGTGAGCCACCATGCCTGGCCAATAATAAATTTTTAGAGGCCAGACGCAGTGGCTCATGCCTGTAATCCCAGCACTTTGGGAGGCCAAGATGGGCGGATCTTCTGAGGTCAGGAGTTCGAGCCCAGCCTGGCCAACATGGTGAAACCCCATCTCTACCAAAAATACAAGAAAATTAGCTGGGTGTGGTGGCAAGCACCTGTAGTCCCAGCTACTTGGGAGGCTGAGGCAGGAGAATCGCTTGAACCTGGGAGGTGGAGGTTGCAGTGAGCCAAGATCATGCCAGGGCACTCCAGCCTGGGTGACAAGAGCGAGACTGTGACCCACCCCACCAAAAAAAAAAGGTGAGTTCCATGAGGGCAAGGACAGGGACTTTATCTTATTGGCCCTTCTGTCCCTAGATGAGCCTGGCACATAGATTGAAGGAATGGAATCTGGGCTCTATTTTCAGATCTACTTATAGGTAGACTAATTGCTAATTACAGTAGATGTGGCTGTACCTGAACTATGTCAGGCGTGCTGGCTTTGAATAACCTTGCGAAGGTTAGGGATGGCCTGACTTTTTTTCTCTCCAGGTAGTGTTCTCTCTGCAGCCTTTTCTGACTTGTTTGATGATAAAGAAAGCAAGTCCCCTGGGTGAACTGATTGACTTCTGACCCTTCTCTCTGCTTGCTTTCTTCAGCTATGGGATGCTTCCAGTGGCTCATTGATCCAGGAACTGCAGACTGCTCAGCCTGTCTTGGACATCTGCCCATTTGAGGTGAACCATAACAGCTACTTGGCCACCTTAACAGAGAAGATAGTCCACATCTATAAGTGGGAGTGACCATGGTCTTGAAACCTTTCAGGCATGCTGCTGATTAGGTTTAAATGTTGTTTGCTAGCACCTAGCAGCCCCAAGCAAAATCCCTGTTTACTATCTGCAGCCTAGAACATTGGGGATCATGGTTTGTTCCATTAGTATGATTCTAGGACTCCATGTCGTTGAGACGCTACAGACTGTGTATCTATTATGTCCACTAAAAGAGTAATTGATGGGTTTACTTTATCTACATTATCCATTTCTTGGGTTTAAAGCCTTCATTGACCATTATTGTTTGCTGGAAATTCTTATTTTATTTTCTATGTGATTTTCTGGACCTTAGAGAGTGTCCTCTCATCAGTCATCTAGGATGTGTGTGGGCATTAGCGTTTAAGCGTTTTCTGGGAGATATGACACCCCACCTGAGTTGTTTTGTCACTTAGGTATCCTTGAAAGGACCAACCTTCATCTTGATACTGATTTGATGCAACGTAGATGTAAAAGAGTATTATTCAGTTGAACACAAGAGGGCACTGTAGAACCTTATGTCTGGTTTATTTCTGACCTTGAAGGCTGACATCTTTTAGTAATTTGTCTTATCCCCACAGAAGTATGTGATAGAGCACATCTGGGTGTGCTTTGTGGCAACAACATTTGGTTTTGTTTTGTTTGTTTTTTGAGATGGAGTCTCGCTCTGTTGCCCAGGCTGGAGTGCAGTAATGTCATCTTGGCTCACTGCAACCTGCAACCTCTGCCTCCCGGGTTCAAGTGATTTTCCTGCCTCAGCCTCTGGAGTAGCTGGGACTATAGGCATGCATTGCCGTGCCCAGCTAATTTTTGTATTTTTAGTAGAGACGGGGTTTCACCACATTGGCCAGGATGGTCTCGATCTCTTGACCTCGTGATCCGCCGGCCTCGACCTCCCAAAGTGCTGGGATTACAGGTGTGAGCCACCGCACCCGGCAGGAACAATGCTTGTGTTTTAGGTATGAAGCGCTGGAACACTGGCAGGCCCAGTGATGGAAGCAGCTAGTGAACTATTCCTTTTGCTAATGACTTGTGCATTAAGTTCCTAATTCTCCTCAATTACTTTGTGAGAAGTAAGGAAAGAGGCCAGTTGTTTGAGCAATGGGGAAGACTTTGCTTTTTCTAGCCAGCCTAGGATCTCAGGATTGGTTTTATCCAGGCTAGTGCTTTAAAGAACACTCTCTGTCTCTTGCCTGGAAAAGATGAGGGGTATGTCAAAGCTTTTGCTTGAGTCTCCCCTAGTGTCAGAGATTAGGAGCAATAACATAAAAGAGTTTACAAAATTTATTCAGACTTCTGTTGAGAACATGAGAAGTTCCTGGATGTCAGATAAATAAAAAAAGAAAATATGAGAAAAACTTGTCCCATTTTGAAAGAGTTCCTATCTAAATAAAGCCAATTCCTCAGTCTGAGGGGCTGTTCATAAGTGTTTTTTATACTTTCCAGGTAAAGCCTTCCCTATATGAAGCTGATGTTTGATTCCAATTTCCTCTGATTTGTCTCCCTAACCTTTTCTTAAAATGTTGTTAATAAAATGGCTATTCTCAGGAATAGTGTTTGGGAAACCTATGCGAATGGCAGGGAGGTACCCACCAACATTCATTCCATACCTGGATTGACCAACTTTGGGAGCGTCACTTCTCTCCAATAGAGGGCTAAGTTATATTTTATTTTTTTGCTTTGCTTAGACTGCTTCGCCAAACGACTATCCTCAACAGAATATGCTTAAAGATGTTGGCAGGTCAGCGTCTGCAGTCTTATTTTCTCAAATGATTGGTGAAGAGATGTTATTGTTTTTATTATAAAACACTTCTGACCTGTCAGTTCAAGAGCTATTTTTTTTTCTCCCCCTCCCCGCCCCCCGCCCCCAAGAGCTCTTTCTAAGATCTTTCTCTCCAGCAAGGGGTTATTGCAGTAGATTTCCCCAGAGTTCCAAGTACTTGTTGTGCCTTTTAATGACCCTTTAGTATTTTAGGACATCATTTTTTCCTTTTTTAAATTTTTTGTAGAAACGGATGTTTTACTATTTTGCCCAGGCTGGTCTTGAACTCCTGGCCTCAAGCAATCCTCCTGTCTTGGCCTCCTAAAGTGCTGAGATTATAGGCATGGGCCAGTGTACCCAGCCCCTATTTGGAGACGTCTTTTGTAAAAGCTAGCTTCTAGAACCCGAGAAAAGCTCTTTTCTCAGAGGAGATATTCCTTTTGATATGTTGATGATTAAGAGTGGCTGCCCAGGCCTGGAGTTGCAGTGGCAGAATAGGATTGGCGTTAAAAAGCAGAACTCATCTGGCTTCAGCAGATTGCCACTGAGAAGATACAGGCAGTCAAGCCCTGGCTGGCTTCGTTTTTGGGCCTGGGCAGGATTAGAATTTGACTTGCTTTGAAGTACACTCAACTGATGCTGATTGATTGCCCTAAGAATAGGAAGCAAGGGACTTAACTATGAGAGACCTTAGGTGAATCCTAAGTCTTGCCAGTCCTTGCAATTGTACGTTAAGTTTGGATGTTTTGGAAGCAAATTCATGTGACTGTGACTAATTTCTCCAAAGGAAAAAAACCTTTGTCCAGCCTGGCCAACGTGGTGAAATTAAAATTTTGTAATAAAAATACAAAAATTAGCTGGACACAGTGGCATGTGCCTGTAGTCCCAGCTACTTGGGAGGCTGAGGCAGGGGAATCGCTTAAAACCGGGAGGCAGAGTTTGCAGTAAGCTGCGATTGTGCCACTAAACTCCAGCCTGGGTGACAGAGCAAGGCTGGCTTTATCTCAGAAAACAAAACCTTGTCCCCATTCCCAATCCCCGTTGCAGGACATCACATAGATGGGGACAAGGGGAATAGATGCAGGCTTTAGGCTTCTGGGTTCCACCAGGCTCTCTGCCCCACCATATTCCTTTGCCACTGTATCTATGGTTTTTTCTTCTACTTGAGGATTTGGAGTTAAACAAACTCAAAATATCTTGTTGTTGTATGTATCCTTGCCCCTGCTTTGAAAACAGGGCAGTGAGAACTCTGTTTGTACACTATGTTTTAATGTAAATATGAAAATAAAGACTTTGCCATGTATAATGGCCTAGTGTCTTTTGTCTCTTTGACTTCTGAGGCAGGAACATGTCTACCTCTTGGGAGAGGGGTATAATCCCAGCCTGGTAGATTTCTCCTTTTTTTTTTTTTTTTTTTTGAAACTGAGTCTCACTCTGTTCCCTCAGACCTGCGTGCAGTAGTATAATCTCAGCTTACTCACTGCAATCTCTGCCTTCTGGGTTCAAGCGATTCTCTTGCCTCAGCCTCCTGCCCAGGTAATCCCCGAGTACCTGGGATTAGGGTGCCTGCCACCATGCCTGGCCTGTTTCCATGTTTTCAGTAGAGATGGGGTTTCACCGTGTTGGCCATGCTGGTCTCCACTACCTGACCTCAAGTGATTTGCCCATCTTGACAGCCTCCCAAAGTGCTGGGATTACAGACATGAGCCACCTCACCAGGCCATAGATTTTTCTCTTTTTCAAACTAGTGAAGTAGTTGAGGCTTTAACTTGCAGTTCTATTTTGCTGTTGCCAGTGGAAAGCAGTGTGTTTGCATCTTAAGAACAGTCAGTCCACCCGCCTCAGCCTCCCATAGTGCTGGGATTACAGGCTTGAGCCACCGTGCCTGGCCCTTGATTGGGTTCTAAAGGAAAGGGTGAAGAGATTCAACCTGTTTGTGTGAAAGTTGGAGATAAAGTTCTCTCAGAATATTGGAAGCACCAAAGTAGTTCTTTTTTTTTTTTTTTTTTTCCATAGCACCAAAGTAGTTCTAGATGACAAGATTTGTTTCCTATTTAGAGATGATGGTGTTCTTGGAAAGTACATTGACTGAAATAAGTCACTGTTGAAATGGCATCAACGTGAAGCTGCCCATTCTACTGAAGTTCTGAAATCTTTCGTTATATAAATAATTTCTGTATCTTGCTTTTATAATAAACCAATGATAACTAACAAAAAAGTAAATAAATAAAAACAATGTTCCATTGGGAGGATGGGGACTGGTGAAGATTAGAACCACCATTAAAGACCTAAAGAATATAAGTGTGACTCTGGAAGGTGGTGGAGAGTGAAAAATTTTCCCAACAGGTGGAGATGCTGGATGTGCCCTTAGTCATTTCACTTTGCATGGAAGATGAGAATATATAAAGATTCCTGGACAAGGTCCAGTGGCCTGGCCTGGGGTAGAGGCATGTGGATGAACATATGGGAGTGGGTACAATATATAAAGATTTTTGTATCTCTTAATAATGCCCACCAGAAAGCCTCCATCATGGAAGAGGCATTGAGCAACCAAGTAAGCAAAATGACTCAGCTAATTGACATGAGCTAGGCTTTAGCTCCTCCAGACCTGTCATGCTGGGCACAGGAACAGAGCAGCCACAGTGACAGACATGAAAGTGACATGTGAGCTCAGCAGCATGGAGTCCCACTCACCAAGGCAGATCCAGCTACTGCAGCCTCTGAATGTCCAACTTGTCAGCAACAGGGAGCAACACTGAGACTTTGATGGGCACTGTTCAGCCAGGCACAGTGGCTTACTCCTGTAATCTCAGCACTTTGGGAGTCCAAGGTGGGCAGATCATGAGGTCAGGAGTTTGAGACCAGCCTGGCTAGCATGGTGAAACCCTGTCTCTACCAAAAATACAAAAAAATTAGCCAAGTGTGCTGTAATCCCAGCTACTCAAGAGGCTGAGGCAGGAGAATCGCTTAAACCCAGGAGGTGGAGGTTGCAGTGAGTCAAGATCACGCCACTGCGCTCAAGCCCTGAGCAACAGAGCGAGACTTCATCTTAAAAAAAAAAAAAAAAAAAAAAAAATGTACACACACACACACCCTACCTTTCAAATCTGCAACTGTGAGAAATGTAATTGACCAATGGTCCCAGCTGCTGTGCCTTGCAACCCATCATTGTGTTCACTGTGAGGCCATACTCCCTAAGAGTTGCTCCCAGCCAATGTGTGAGCTTGGCAGAGATGTTCCCATTTCTGGGAGGTTTGCTTCTTTTTTTTTTCTCTTTTCTTTTCTTTTCTTTTCTTTCTTTTTTTTTTTTTTGAGACAGAGTCTGGCTCTGTAACCCAGGCTGGAGTGCAGTGGCCCAATCTTGGCTTACTGCAACCTCCACATTTGGGTTCAAGCGATTTTCCTCCATCAGCCTCCTGAGTAGCTGGGACTACAGGCATGTGCCACCATGGCCAGCTAGTTTTTTGTATTTTTAGTAGAGACGGGGTCTCACCATGTTAGC